TCTGCTCAAAGTTTATCCTTTCAATGAGGCTTTTCCTGACCTATATAGAATTACAACCTGCTCCTGAATTCCCATCTCCCATACTTTACTTTAGTTTTTTCCCCTCACAACACTTACAGACTTCTAATATTCCATATAATTTTCTTATATTTATTAACTTGCAGTTTTTCCCAACACTAGAATGTTGGGAAATTAATGTATGCTCCTTAAAGATTTCTTGTCTGTTTTGTTCATTGATATATCCCAAATCCCTAGCACGTGATAGGAGTTCAATAAATATTTGTCAAATGAATAAGGGGCTATGTCTGTTTTGCTCTCCACTACATTCCAAGCTAATCAATTTCTGTGGAATTAAAGTTTAGGTAATATAAAATCTAAGATGAAGGATGGAGCACACTACCACCATCACAAGGGGATCCCATACATTGTGAATGCATGCCGCGTGAATGCTTTCAGATAAAAAGGGCATATTTAATTTGGAATCTAGAAAGTGACCTTCATCTTTTGTACTGCCTTTTAAGCATATAGTTAATCTCTGTTGCTTTCTTTCTTCACATTAAGAAGTTTTAAGGAACAATAATACAAAATGTAAGTTGCATGAGAGGGAAGACTGTGTCCCTATTCATCTCTGGCATATGGAGGCTGATGTCTCAGCCCTCTTCCTGGCATTTGGCAGGAGCTTACTGTCAAGCTCTTTTACCTGCCCATACTCCCACCGACTGGGCCAACTGTCGAGCTAGAGCTGGGTCTGGGGCTCACAGACCCCTCAAGCCTGTTGTCCAGACTGGGTCACAAACCCTTCACACTCAGGTCTATGAGCTAGATAACCAGCAAAAAGGTCCTTGGAGCCATAGGTTTGAGAGCATGGATGTGCTGGGCCAACACCTGAGGCAGTCCACCCCAACCAAGCCATAGCACCGCACATATGCACTAACTCCACCCACACACAACTTATTTACAAAGAATGCACTGCACCACCCCAACCAGACCTAAAAAGGGGGGGGGGGGCTGATTAAATTATTTTATTTTCCCAACACTTACTAAATAGTAATAAATGACTGACCTACTGAGTGAACTTGTGCCATCAAGGGAAGGTTAGTCTGTACCTGCAGTGGCAGAAGAAGCCAGGACTTGGAATCATCAGTGGGTAGCTGTATTCCTGGCAGTACCACCTGAGAAATCTGACAACTTTCCTGGGCCTATTTTTTCTTTATCTGGTAGGTGAGAGTATGAAGCCAGATGATCCAGTTCACCTTAACTAGTTGGATGTACTAAAAGATAAGCACCATGAGGCCAAGAACTGCAACTGTCTCACACACTGGCATGAAAACAAGGCCTAGATCAGTATGTTTGGCACACAGTAGGCCCTCAAGATTTTGTGGAATGATCTCTAAAATTTTTTCCAGTGCTAACATTTTAAAGAAAAATAACTTTGAGTTCTCCTAAATAAATTGTTCTTTTTCTAGAGAAAACCATAAAGGAGTTCTCCCTTATCTTAGGGAAATACATTTCAAGACCCCCACTGGGTGCCTGAAACCTCAGATAGCACTGAACAGTAGTCTTTTGGGTTTTTTTAAATATACTGTACATATCTACTTATGATAAAATTTAAGTTGTAAATTAGGCACGGTAAGAAATTAACAATAACTAATTATTAAACAGAATGATAATATAATGTAATAGAAGTTATGTGAACGTGGTCTGTCTCTCTGTCTCAGAATACCTTATTGTAATGTACTCACCTATATTAACCGAAGCCACGGAAAGCGAAAGCACGGATGGAGAGGTGGGGGACTACTGTATACAGAGTATCGTCCTAGAAATACCCTAGGGTAGAGTGAAAAGGGACTACAAAAAAAGAATAAGTGCTTGTTTCCTCCTGGTGAGTTGGTTAAGGAACCAGTTTTACATTTTCAGTAAGACTTCTTGGGTTCTTTAATCATATTTATATAAATAACACCTTTGCGCTTTATTTGAAACCTTTAACTCTGTGAGAACACCAAACTCCTGAGAAACTATATACTTGTACAAGTCCCTACCGGTTCCACAGTTTTGTTGGCACTCCTTCCCTACCATTATGCAGGTTCCGAAGAAGAGTCACCTCTTGCCATTTCCAGGCCCATCCTTCCCCATCCATCCTCCGCCTCCACCCCCTTCCCCACTAGCTGAAGAAACCCCTTGGCTGGTACGACGCTAGGGCAGGTTAAGGAAAGAGCGGCCCAGGGCCCCGCGTCCCGCGCCCCCCACAGCGCCCCTAAACCGACTCCCCCAGCCAGATACTAGGGACTGTTGGCTTTTCAACTATGCTAAAAACGCGCTTTCGTATCGTAAGGAAAAATCTTTTCCACCATAAAGCAGGGACCGCTCTGGAGTGAATCTGTGTGTTTACACTTGCTTTCTGGCCCCGGAGCTGCTGCGGGAGTTGATTGGTTCCCTTGCGCCCTTGACGCTCCGGCTGCTCCCCGCGCCCCGCCCCGCCTGCACCCCGCCCCCTCGCGCGGCCATCTGCTTGGCAGTCTGTCTCCCCGTCTCTCAGTCGGCCCCCCTTTCCCCTCCACCACTCCACCACCTCCCTGTCTCCTCCCCCGCCCCCCAGGGCCGGCCCTGACTAATACTTTTAAATGTTTTTCTACTATTACTGATGATGAGATGCACTTATGTTTTGGGTGTTTGTCCCCTTATCTCCTTAAAATAAATTCCTAGAAATGGAATTGCTAGGTCCAAGGGTATGCATATTTAAGATTTTGATAAAAATTGCCAACTGCCAACCAGAAAGTTGATATTGTTCTAATTTTCATTCCCATTAATAGTGATTGAGAAGACATTTTCTCTGCATCCTCTTTAATGCTGAGCTTTGTTAATTTTATAAAAGTTCCTTTGATTCCTTCTGACAAACTATTTCTTATATATTTGCCAGGGAGACAAGCCGATACCAGGCAAATAGGCATTCGAGAAAGAAAAGGGGGGAAAGCTATACGGCAGCCTGGTAACAAAGGAGCAATAAAAGCAGCCCCCAAATGGAGGACTAAGGACGCGTCTGGAAGAAAATCCGAAAGCATGCTAGCAATCACCCCAATTTAAAACAGGAGGGGGATGCAGAGGAAGGGGCAGGATTCACGATGGGGGTGGGAATCGCCTGGATGGTGGTGTTGGATCAGCCCAGTTGGCTTTTCAAGTTCGAGCTCTGCTAATACAAGGGATTTGCGTCCATCCTGGTGGCTGGGGTCTCGGGCCAGGCCAACGAGCTCCCTTAAGAGTGATAATACGTTCGTTGGCAGGATGCACTTCTATGGAAATGTCTTTACATCAGCTCTGGGGAATATGACTTCGTGATTGAATAATGCATCTGAAAGAACTGGATAGAGAGAAGACGAAGCTTCACCTAACGATGTTCAGCTTGGTGATTTTCAAAGCAACGCTTGTACAAAGAGTTATTGGCTTGAACCAACCGTCTTTTTCACTCAGAGTGTGACCTATTTCCCTACAATGAGCAGAGAATAAAACTGTTTGAGAATTCAGAGCCAGCACCAGGAGACATGAACCATTCCCTCGACCGCTTCTCACCTCCATAAGCGAAAGATTATTCATTGCAGGACCACTAAATGTAAACGGGAAAAGCTGGTCTGATTTTGTCACGAGTGAGAATTTTGTGACCAAAAATGTGGGTGGTAGTGGAATGCTTATTAGGCTGTATCCTTGATTTTTACCCCCATATACTTTAAGTCAGTGCCTTGTCTCACACACACAGTCTGGTACTTCGGTGGCAAGGAGTGCCGTGGCAGATGGAGGTATCTTGTGTACCATTACAGAAGCTTTTCCTCTATTCTAGGTTAGACTTGGAGCGTTCAGAGATCTTCCTGCAATCTCTCAACTTGCAGACAATTTCTCCTTAGAATTGTAATCCGGTTGTTTAGAATTTCACCGCTGCTGCCTCCCTTCCTTCCAGGAGCACAGTCGCTTACGTGCGCGCTCACACTCACACAACGTTCCGAAGGAGAGTCCATCCGATTCTGGCAGTAGGCTGACAACGATCCATATTGACGCGAATAGCATCCTAACTGTAAATAAGGATTCGTACACTCGAGGCTGTCTCATTTCACCACAGAAGAAAATTAATTATGTCATTTCACACAGTGATAAAACGGGAACAGTTTCGATTTTCTGTAAATAGCTCTCTCTTTGTATTGGGGGGTGGGGAGAGGAATCACTGATTGAGAACAGCCAGAGAGGGGGAATTTGACGAGCGCTGAAGGCCAGTCTCAAAATACTTTATTTCGTGCCAATGTGGGAGAGGGGAGGGAGTGTGGCTTCGGCTGTTTGCAGCTTTTGCATTTAACCACATCTGGCCTACAGACCTAATTCTAACTCGCGATCTCGTTTGATGAAATTCGATCTTTGTGGTTTAAATACCTTTCAATTTGGGACGATTTAACCATTCGCAGCAGTTAAAAAAAAAAAAAAAAAAAAAAAAAAAAAACCCAAAAAAAAAAAAAAAAAACACTGAGCACTGACTGTGGAACCAATATGGAACACGAAGAGAGAAAACATGCTGCAAATACAAATCCCAACCATTGTCTTTAATATTCGCATACACACACACATAAACACACGGGAAAGATGGGGGAGGGGAGCGAGTGAAAAGAGACAGACACGGATATAGACCGACCAGAGTCAATGCGAGTCAAGTTAACGCTTTCTCCGCCCCCATCCACAAGTACCCCCCTATCGTGTTAATTAATTCCAAACAAAGCAAGCCAATCAAGAAATGCATTATTATTTTCAAGCAGAGGGAGGTGAAAGGCATGTATTTTTTAATTGACTTATTTATTTGGAGGATATTAATTCTTGTTCCAAGGCTGATTTTCAAATCGTTTGCAAAGCGCGGCTCCATTGTTCGCCGGGCGCGCAGGCCCCGCCCCCTGCTTTGTGTGCGGCGCGCGGATTGGCCCGCGCGCGCGGGGGCCGCGTCAGCGCCCGCGAGCCCATTCATCTGTGCACTTGGGCGTTGGACTCCGCATCTTATTAGCAACCAGGGAGATTTCTCCATTTTCCTCTTGTCTACAGTGCGGCTACAAATCTGGGATTTTTTTTATTACATTTTTTTTTTTAACTACACTTGGGCTCCTTTTTTGTGCTCGACTTTTCCACCCTTTTTCCCTCCCTCTTGCGCTGCTGCTTTTTGATCTCTTCGACTAAAATTTTTTTATCCGGAGTGTATTTAATCGGTTCTGTTCTGTCCTCTTCACCACCCCACCCCCTCCCTCCGGTGTGTGTGCCGCTGCTGCCGTTGCTGCTGCCGCTGCTGCTGCTCGCCCCATCGTTACACCAACCCAAGGCTCTTTGTTTCCCCTCTTGGATCTGTTGAGTTTCTTTGTTGAAGAAGCCAGCATGGGTGCCCAGTTCTCCAAGACCGCAGCGAAGGGAGAAGCCGCCGCAGAGAGGCCAGGGGAGGCAGCTGTGGCCTCGTCGCCTTCCAAAGCGAATGGGCAGGTAAATTCTACCTGTGCTTCTGTTCATTTCTTTGGTGTCTTTCTCCAGTCTCTACGCTTCCCCTCCCCTCTTTGTCGCGCCCTAGGCGCATTCGGTGAGAGAAGCGTGGCTGGATTCTTGTCTGAAAGTTGAAAGGAAAAGGATAGCCTAAATCGTCAATTTTTCGTAAGAGGGGTCTCCCCCTCCCACCCCAAAGGAGTGGTTCCCTAGAATCCTGGAGAATTCTTGAGTGGACAGGAGGAAAAGTGATAAATGGACTAAAATGGCGTGGTTTGGAGATTGGCAGAATGTGACTTGCTAGGTGCCCCCCCCCCCCCCGAGAGGCACAATGGTGTTTGGGTGGTTCTCGTGTTTGTTGTTGAGACTGGGTCGCCTTCGAGATTTCTGAACTGGTGTGATTGGGGCGATGGGGGGAGGGGTAAAGAAGGGGTCCGCAAAGGGGGTGACGGTGGAGAAAGGCGTGGAGGAAAAGGCTGTCTTATTGTATGCCGAGGCGGCGTGCCTTGGGTTCTTGGAAAGGTGGCTGGGTGCAGCTGGACCAAGGGTTTCGGTACCTTTCGATGGGGCTTCCCACTGTCCTATTCTTTATTCGTAGCTCTCTGTGGCATTATACACCATTTTACTTTTAAACGGTATCCCTGGGGTCGGACAACCCTGTGGGTCCTTTAAGGACCTCTCCAGATGGTCGAGAAGCGGCAGCTCGTGCGTTTCGGTCGGGATTGTTCGTGTGCGTGGCGCCTCGACCACCCGCGGGGGCCGCCCCGGCGCTGCCCGGACTCAGGCAGATAACCACGGTTGGGTGGGCGCGAGAGGTCGGCCATGGGTGGCTGCTTCGCAAACACTGGGCACCCACCACGCCTCTTTTCCTCGAGCAGAGGCCGTGTTGCTTCGCCTTTTCTAACCTGGGGAAGGCAAGCTCTGCCAAGTAGCTTTAAACCCGTTAAAAATGCAAAATGAGTCGCCGGGGCGCGCCCCGACTTCGCAGATTCACGGGCGGAGGTGGGCGTGGAAGGAGAGGCCAGACCTCAGAAATAATGGGTTTTCCCCCGGCGTTGTTGGTTTTAGCCCGACCAGGAGGCCGGGAAGCCACCTGAGCTTTGTTTGCGGATTCTCGGGCTGCGCGATCCGGGCTCGGGGGCGCCTCGGCCTGCGGGCAGGGCCCGGCTGGGCAGGGCTGGGTGGCCCGGCGGCCCCGCCCCCCTCGCCCGCCTGCGCCCAGCTCGGCGCCGTGGAGGCGCAGCGCCCCCTGTCGTTCCTAAGGCCCTAGGCCGTCGCGAGGCCTTAGAGCGCGCAGTGCGGGCGCTTTTGGCCGGAGCGCTGTGAACCCCCTGGGAATTCCCGATGTTGTGAAGAGGCCTCTAGGTTTGGGGCAAGAGGCGGATGTGTATCGTAGGCGCAGAACACCAGCTCTGGCTCTGTGCGTTCTTCCAAACGGCATTTGGCGTATCGAGTATTAGTCGGCACGTCTTCTGCAAAGCTTGTGCGCGAGGGCAGGCATGGTCATCCTTAGCATTCTACGTGTCGGACTCGGTCCTACGCTCGATGGTCAGGGCTACTGCTGTGCGTGTAGGGCTCCCTAAACGGTGCTGCCCCATTTCTTCGTTCGTGGGCCCTTTGGGCATCCAACCCCGCGTTCCCGTATTGGTGGGAGGCTCCGTAGCCTCCAGAGGGGCCCGAGGAAGAAACTGGTCCATCACGGTCAAGGGGTAGGGGTGTGAGCGGGAATGGCGGCCCCCGGGCCACTTCAGTGACGCTCCTGCTTTCTTTGCCCCGCAGGAGAATGGCCACGTGAAGGTAAACGGCGACGCTTCGCCCGCGGCCGCCGAGCCGGGAGCCAAGGAGGAGCTGCAGGCCAACGGCAGCGCCCCGGCCGCGGACAAGGAGGAGCCCGCGACCGCCGGGAGCGGGGCGGCGTCG